TTTCGATATCGACATGGATGAGTGGACCACCGCTCAGGTCCATCTACTGGGGGAGGCCCCACCTCTTGCTCGTCCAGGCTTCGTGCGGTACTCCTGGTTCGAGGTACAGTTTCGGATTCAGCCCGTGTTGGAGGAGGAGGCGCAGATGACAGTGATTACAAACATGCGGTCTACGCAGGTAATGTAATTAACATGCGGTCTACGCAAGGAAAGAAATGATTACAAACATGCGGTCTACGCTGGTAATGTAATTAACATGCGGTCTACGCAAGGAAAGAAATGATTACAAACATGCGGTCTACGCAGGTAATGTAATTAACATGCAGTCTACGCAAGGAAAGAAATGATTACAAACATGCGGTCTACGCAGGCAATGTAATTAACATGCGGTCTACGCAAGTAAAGAAATGATTACAAACATGCGGTCTACGCAGGCAATGTAATTAACATGCGGTCTACGCAAGTAAAGAAATGATTACAAACATGCGGTCTACGCAGGCAATGTAATTAACATGCGGTCTACGCAAGTATGCACAAAACAGTGCGACGGTTTGAAATGCACAAAATACAATGCACAAAACAGTGCGATGCGCAAAACAGCGCGATGGTTTGAAATGCACAAAACAGTGCGCCGGTTTGAAATGCACAAAACAGTGCGAGGATTCGAATTGCACAAAACAGTGTGACGATTTGAAATGCACAAAACAGTGCGACAGTTTGAAATGCACAAAACAGTGCGCCGATTTAAAATGCACAAAGCAGTGCGCCGGTTGTGCACAAAACAGTGCGATGCGCAAAACAGCGCGAACAATATAATGCACAAAACAGTGCGATGCGCAGAACAGCGCGGACAATTTTGAAATGCACAAAACAGTGCGATGCGCAAAACAGCGCGAACAATTTGCAATGCACAAAACAGTGCGATGGATATGCGATACACATGGGGCAACTTTTGGACCTTGTAAAGGTCAAAAGGATATGAAAAGGATACACCTTGCACGAATTCGAGTGCCACGCACAGAAGACACGACCCGAGGTCAAAACGGGGGCCGGTTGAGCATCGGAGATGCACTTTCTTGCACTTTCTTGAGCTATGAAGACCAAAAACTCCTCACATGGCCTAAACAAGGCTGTGGGAACATCACCGGCCGGTAGGGGAGGTCACCGGCTGTCCACCGGCTGCAAAACAATTCCATCGGCACAAAAAAGTGCCGGCCGGCACAAAACATTGCCGACCGGCAAACAGTTGCTGATGCGGGGCAGTTTTGACTTTTCACCTTGGGTGTTTTAAAATAGGGCTTCAAGCCCTATTTCCTCACTTCTCCACCGCCGAAATCCCTTGCTCTCTCTCTCTAGAGCTTTTCCCTCTCCTTTTTCGCCCGTTTCTTTGCGTTCTACGCCCGTTCCGTCCGAATAATCCAGTTTCGTCCTCGAAGGATATCAGTGGAAACCTGTTCTCCAGGGAAGGCAAAACTTTGTCGCACATGTTATCCGATGAGTGAATATGAAGGATTTGATGCTGTGCAATTCATTAGACTCACACCACAAGTTTTGACAATTCACCACGGGTGTTATAAAATAAGGTTTCAAACCCTATTTGCTCATTTCCTTCACCGCCGAAAACCTTCACTTTCTCTCTCTAGAGCATTTTTCTCTCATTTTTCGCCCGTTTCTTCGCGTTCTACGCCCGTTTCGTCGTCGGATTCGCGATTTTCTTCGCGTTTCGGACATTTTCAACTGATCACATTTTTGTTTCGGTGCCTCGTTTGGCGTTCCCGCCTTTTCGGGGTTTGTTCCCCTCGTTTTCCTCTCCATTCTCGTGCCTTTTCACATTCCGGCCTTCCCGGCCATTTCCGACCGTCTCAGGAGTTGACTTTTCGGTTGACTCTTCGTATTCCGGCCCGGTTTTCCTTCCTCCGGCCATTTTCTCATAATTTTCGACATGGCGGACGACATTCCACGTGGCGGGACTCCCCCGGACCACGACATGGATCCCGGGGTCGAGCTCCTACCGTTGAGCGAGCGCCCGTTCGACCCGGTGACCTACCGACCGGCGATCCATGTTCTGCCCCCCGACGGCCTGCGTCAGTTCCAGAGTTTCAAGAGGCACGTGGCGCCTGAGCTACTACTGCGTGAGCCTACCTCCTACCTTTCATTCGGCACTTCCGAGGTAACTCTCTGTCTTCTGCTTTACTTTCCGCAATGTAGGATACAAAAACTGTCATAGTTAGTTGTATTCTTTAATTGCTGAAAAGAATTTGATATACCGTAGACTGTAGTTGACTGTAAACATACATACAACTGATATCTGCTCGAGACTAACACATGCACACACACTGCACTATCCCTGAATCACTCAAACACACTGCACTCACTGTATTTTCACTGCATACACACTGGCACCCAGTATTTGTCTGAATCGGTTAAATTTGCACACATGCTATATCTATTCTGAAACACCCAAACATGCTGACACATCACACGTATTTCACCGTAAGCACACCGGCACCCGGTATTTGTCTGAATCTGACACGGCACCCGGTATTTGCCTGAATCTGACCAACTTGCACACATGCTTTATCTGCTTTTTCAAAACTGCATTTTGAATGTTGTCTTGCCACCGTTATTTTCTGTTTACAGGAGGGTTCCCATACCATTCGCGGGTATGGGAATACTGGTGCACGGGAGTGGTATGATGACCTCCCTGACGCAGTCCGACGCATCGTGGACCGGGCGGGCTTCAGCACCTTCTGCCGAGGGCTCTCCAGATTATCCACATGCAGACCTCTCCTTGCCGCTCTGGCGGAGAGGTGGTGGGACACCACCGATTCTTTTCATTTCTCTGCTGCAGGGGATATGACGATGACCCCTCATGACTTCTCGATGCTCACAGGCATCGGGGTAGGGGGGGATCCGATCCCTTTTGACACAGACATGGATGAGTGGACCGCCGCTCAGGTCCATCTACTGGGGGAGGCGCC